ACGGCCGCCCAGTGTGGAGATGTAGGCAGTCACATTTTTAGCGACTGCCAGAATGTGGTTAATTCAGCTCTAGACCCCATCCCATCCCGCCTGTCTTTTCGCCGCCCGCACGCTGGGTTTATGCTCCAGGCCCTGGGCCTCATAGCCAGCGCTGTCAGTAAGGTGAAAGGGGCACGTGCCCGATTGTGCTGACTTCGCGCCTGAGGAGCGTGCTCATAAGTTCGGGAACGATTGTGCTGACCAGGCTGCCCGCCTTGCCGCCCTGAGACACCCGTCGCCGCACCCAGATGATGCTGAGCGGGCTGCTCGGGCAGCCCGCATCTCTCGTGTAGTGTGCAAGCTGGCGGCACGCGTCATGTCTCTGTGGCCCACGTTGGATATTTCAGAGGCCTCCTGGACCAAACCCCCTTCCGGGGCCTCCTCCTCTTCACCCTCACGACTGGTCCTGGGAGGGCAGGTTTTGGATTTGTGCCTCGTGTTTTCGCTGCGCTCGTGATCCTCAGAAACCCTCCCCTGGCCGATGTCGTGGCGCGGCCACGATCAAGGGCCTCACGGGGCAGTGCTTGGTCGACCACGGGCACAAACCTGTTTTCTTTGATGCGAACCAGGGTGGTGGCATCTTAGTTGCCTGCACCCGTTGCTTCTATTATACGGGCGGCGGCCAGGTCAGGAACCTGGGCAAGCAGTGCCCGGGCCCACCCGACAGGCAGAACAAGTCTGATCATGGCCGCAGGCACGCGTGGAATGTGATCATGAAAGGACGGCACCCCAAAAGCGGAGCGCCGCTCACCTCTGGCCTCGACGACACGTCGTCGGAACCACCCCTCGGCCACGATGACGTGGTCCACCACCAGGCGCCCGCGCCGCCCCCCACCTTGGTCGCCCCGCCGTCGGATCGTGATCGTGACGGGTGGGGGGCGGGACAGGCTGGACCGCTTGGTGTCCTGAGACGTTCCTCCTCCTCCACCCCTCCCAACGCGGTGGGGTCGGTGGAGCCCGACGAGCTGCTCCCTACGGTGGATGAGGACCCGTCTACCTCTGGAGCTGCTCGTGCAAGGTCCGCGGGGTCTGGCGACTCCGACTGAGCCTGCGGTCCCGGGGTGCCCTTCGTTTAGTGTAGGCCACCGCCCAGGTCCTTTGCCCCAGGCGATGTTTCCGCCCAGTGCTGTTTCATCCTGGAGGCATTCACACCCTCTGCGGTTGATGTTGAAAAACTCCGAACCCCTGGGGAAAGAATGGGTACAATGCCCGACAGCAGATCCTGTTCATTTTGAACAGGGGATCGCTGTCCGCGCCGCCGTGGCCTGTGCCCAATTTGAGACAGATGGCCGCCTGCCCAGCCGCGGCCGCTGTTGGTTTGGGGTAGCACTTGTTGTTGGGCCTTGTACCCATTGTTTCCGTGCCCATTCCGGGCGCCCAAACAGGCGGAGGGGCCCAACGCCGCCCCGCCTTCTGCTCTTCCCTTGGCTCGGGAGGGGAAATCAAACACACGGAGGCACGGAATCGCCGATTCCCAGAAACATATGGGAATATATGGGAAGTTGGGGGGAAACGAAGATCCAACGACCATGGGAGAAGATGGGAATTCTGTTACGTGTGTCTATTCATCAACAAGCAGTGGCGAAGCGTCCTGGCTCGCCGATGGCAGTACCAAGCAATGCTCTAAGAACCTTTTTTGTGGTTCCCACGAAATGTTCTTAGAACGTGTCTGGTCGGGACTTTCTTGTTTTAGCACGTCGGGAATATGTTATATTTTTTGATGTTCGAACATTTTGGGGTTCTCAAAACATGTCGTGGTAGGACGACAGGAATGTCGGGACGGTCGGTCCCTGCTCAAGATTCGGGAGGGGAAAAAAACACGGACACCAGGAATCGCCGAGTCCCCGGAAACCATTTGACATTATGGGAAGTGGGGGGGGAACAAACGCCCAGAAAAAGATAAGGTCATATGGGGATTAACGGTATTGTGTATGAATTCTTCACGCTTCGCGTATCCCCACCAGCCCATTTCAAAACACAACTCTTGCGAAGCATGCCGACAATCGTGTTTTTCACGCGTGTTTCCGCCTGCCCCGGCATATCTCCGGGCCTCTCGTCCTGGTGTGAGTCGTTCGGGCCCTTTTTCCTGGTGTGAGTCGTTCGGGCTCTTCGTCGTGGTTTGAGTCGTTCGGGCTCTTCGTCCTGGCGTGAGTCGTTCGGGCTTCTCGTGGTGAGAGTTGTTCGGGCCCTTCGTCCTGGTGTGAGTCGTTCGGGCTTCCCCTCCTGGTGTGAGTCGTTCGGGCTCCTCGTGGTGTGGGTCGTTCGGGGCCCTCGTCTTGGTGTGAGTCGTTCGGGCTCCTCGTGGTGTGAGTCGTTCGGGCGCTTCGTCCTGGTGTGAGTCGTTCGGGCCCCTCCTCCTGGTGTGAGTCGTTCGGGCTCTTCGTGGTGTGAGTCGTTCGGGCCCCTCGTCCTGGTGTGAGTCGTTCGGGCTCCTCGTGGGGCCCCTTGGGGGCCTCTTGGAGCCTCTTGGGGCCTCTTGGGGGCCACTTGGGGGCCTCTGGGGAGCCTCTTGGGGGCCTCTTGGGGCCTCTTGAGGCCTCTTGGGGGCCTCTTGGGGGCCTCTTGGGGGCCTCTTGGGGCCGCTTGGGAGCCTCCGGGGAGCCTCTTGGATGCCTCTTGGGAGCCTCCTGGGGGCCTCTTGGGGCTATCTTGGGGCCTCGTGCGACCTCCTCAGAAGCGCAAGTGAGAGCTGCCCCCTGAGAAGGACAAAATGAGCCCACAAGTTTCGTAAAATCAATGATTTTGCTATGAAGGAAGATGAGCGCGGCCCCCTCAGGACGCCCAAGTGGGGCCCAAACCGTAGTAAAATCAATGATTTTTGCTTCAAAGACGAGCAGAGGGGCCAAACTCCCCCCGTCGTCGTTTTTTGGCCCTCCCAGGAGTCGAAAAAGACCCCCCTGACTACGCTCGGGACTCCCTCTCCAGGTCCAGGGGGAGGGGGTAGGGGGAGGGGTAAACCCCTCCCCGAAGGGGAAGAAGGGGGGTTGAGGACAGAGCGGGCTCTCTAAACCACTCACGCCCAAAGGGCTGGTGGGATTTGTTTGTGTGTCTTTGGGCTCCTTCACTGACATCCTCCCCCTATCATTCGAAAAGGGGAGAAAAAAACATGTGGTCGGCGTTCCGCGCGGATTTTTTGGATCTGCGCTGGGGACCCCTGGAGGGCGCCTCCAGCGCCGCCCCTGGCGCGCTGCGCGCGGCAGAGAGGGGAGTTTCAGCGCAGATCCAAAAATCCCGCGCTGAGCGCCAGCAGTTTTTGTTTATGCCGTTTTCTTTTAGTCTATTTCTATTATCACCCTCCCTCTGCCTGCATCCTCCACTTCCTTCCCTACAACTACACACTAATCATGATCTCCTCTCTCACCCGAGAACGTGTTGTCAGCTCTGATTTTCCTTTCGCGTGTTGTTTCGGACGCGTCATGATACGAATGGCCTCCTGTCATCCCGCCACCATGCTTGGGTTGTAGGCCAGAGGCCTCCTGGATGCCTGTGAGGATCTCTCTTGGAAGGCCTCTGTACTATCAGAAGCTTCTTGCGGGCGGTATTCGGAGGCGGTCGTGGGAGCGTCGCCCGAAAATGCGATAACACCAATATCAGTGAGAACGCGTGGGAACAGCCATGATTTGAGCATTTGGGAGGTCCTCTTGGAGCCCTCCTGTGGCATGTAGGGGGCCTCTTGGCCGTCCCTGGGCATCCGTGAGTCCCTCTGTGAGCGCTTTCGGACCGTCTTGGAGGTCTGCGGGACTGTGTTGGGGCCATCCCTGGGGCTTCTTGGGCTGCCTTGGGGTCCTCGTGGGCCGTCTTGCGGGGCCTCTCGGACCGTCTTGGGGAGACCTGGGGGGCCCACGGGCCCGTCTTGAAGCGTCGGGTGTCCGAAAAGGCCGGAGCACTCAAACCGTTAAAAAACCTGGGAGCACGAGATTGTTACCTCCAGGAGGCCTCTTGGTCCGTCTGGAGGATGTCGTTGGACGTCTCGGGACCATCTTGGCCGCCTTGGAGGCGGACATACGAGTCCCGACCAGCGCGCCTTTGGCCTCTGGAGAAGTCACGCGGGGACCCCCCTGTAGCGCTCGGGAGCGCGCGACAGTGCCTGGGAGCGCCCGGAACTCCAGGCTGTGGGCCCGTTAACCAGATTTCCCAAAAAAATGCACAACTCAACGAGACCTGAGGACACCCCACTTCGTGCCCCGAGGCACGGAAGCGGATATATATATATATATATATATAGAACTAGATATATAGAGAATCCGAAGGGACCTGAGGACATTCCAATTCGTGTTTCAGGGCACGGTGGTGGATCGGTATTTGGTATCATATCATGTGTCCTTACCCGTCCAAGCGGCTTTTTGGTCCTTCGACACGGTGCTGAAGCTGCAGCATTCGCGCCATCTCCACGGTCCCGGTTCATCAAGATGGTGCTTTAGCTGCAGCCTTGGCCTCATTTCCGCGTTTGCGGTCCTTTTTGATGGTGCCTTTGTTGTAGCGTTGGCCTTTAAGGTAGTGCTCCCGTTGCGGCGCTGGCCTCATTTCAGCTATGCGATACCACGCCTCGACTTGCAGTGCCATAGTATGCAGTGCTGGGTTACGCAAGGCCATGCCATTAAGTAGTATGCTGTGCCATGGCATGGTATGCGATGCAGTGCTATGTGTCGTGCCGCTATGCGATGCCCAGCCTTGCTCTGCAATGCCATGGTATGCAAGGCCTGGCTGCGCAGTTCCATGCCATGCAACGGCAGCGCCATGCAGCGCCATGCCATGGCCATTCCACGACGTACTCTGCTATGCGCCGCTGTGCGATGCCATACCTTGTTGTGCAATGCTGGGATATGCAACGCTTGCTTACGCAATGATGTGCCATTCTGTGCTATGCCACGCTCTGCCGTTCTCCTCATATGCCATGTCATGCTTTGCGGCTCTGAATTACCCTTGTGGGACCACTGTCTGCGTTGGCATCCGATCCGTGGCCATTTTGGCGCAAGTCATTTTGGTACAAGCCGCTCAGCAAAGTGAGTTCAGTGGACCCTTGTCGACAGCGGTAGCACAGCGCTGCAATGGCCGCCAGTGCAGCGGAGGACGAGCGCACAGCCAGGCAGATGCAGGAGGCCGAGATGGGCCAGGCGCCTCATTTTGCGCACGGAGCCGTTGTGCAGGGCGTGGCCGTGCACACGCACGCCGTGTCCATCGGCGCACCTCGCCTCTCGACGGGGCCGGTCTTTGTGGAGGCCATCCCAGATTTGCCGACCGATGAGCTCATTGTCCTCAGCTTGCGGTACACGGTCGTGTGCTTCGGTCTGATCGACTTCGTCCTCCAGTTGGTCCGCGATGTAGTCTTCTGGGCGGGCTTCATCCAGTGCAGGAGAGGAGGATGCGACGCTATCGAAGGGATACCTTTGTGGACTGTAGGCTTGATTCAGGCCGCACTCATCATCGGACCTCTCTGCGGTATCATTGGGGCACGGCGCTTGCAGCGTGGGCCTGTCTCTGTATATCTTTGCTTCTGTATCTTCAGCCTGGTCTCCCAGATGTTCGTTCTTACATCCTACTTGTGGTTCGTGATTTTCCTGATCGTTCAGGTGTGGATCACGTGGATAGTTTGCAAGTTCTGGAGTGCGCTGGGTACGATCCCCAGGGATCGGGTTCTCCAGATGAGGGATCCCGACTACCTCGAGAAGGCACCAGTCAGAATAGTGTATTGGTGAATTCTGCATCGGCCCGCGTGTCGGTAAGTATCGCCCGCTTGTTGGCTAGATGTTCTAGGTTCTGCCAGACGATTTGGGCGGGGAATCGGTTTGGTTTGACATGTGTGCAGCTGAAGTACGCGTGCTATTTGACTTTGCAGCATCTCGGACACCGAGCGGGTATCTCCATCGTCGCTACAGAACCGACAGTTTGGCTTGTTCGCCGATTAATGTCAGTATGCATCTCGCTGCACGTTGCACTCGAGTCCGAGCTGCTCTGAATTCACGGCGAGCACAGCCTCGCCGCGTCGCTCCGTGGATCAATTTACAGGGCGGAGCCGACGCCACAGTCGCGGTGTGACCCAGACGGCACCGCGTGCCGAAATAGTTCTCCTGGGCAAAACTGTCTGCCTTGGCACCCGGCTATGCGAATAGAGAGGGACCTTACGCCATTGTAAGGGATGGGTGGGGGCCGTCAGATATGACCTTCCCCTCTCCCTCCTCCGCTTGTTCCCCCTCCTCCCCCGCCCCAACTCCGTTCCCCCCCGCCCAGGTCCCCTTCTCCCCGTCTCCCCTTCCTCATCCGGCCCGGTCCCCATCATTCCCCGCCCCCACTCCCTCCCCGCCTTCCAGCTCCCCTTCTCCCCGTCGCCCCTCCTGCCCCGCCCTCGTTCCCCTCCTCCCCTCCCCCCTCGCCTTCTCCTCCCTCCCAAACTCACATCCCCCCTCCTCGAGCGGCAGGACTCCCCACCCTCCTTCCCCCCCCCTTTCCCCAGAGGAGGATGATGATGATGAGGAGGAGGAGGAGGAGGAGGCGGAGGAGGAGGAGGAGGAGGAGGAGTTGCAGGAGGAGGAGCATGAGGAGGAGGAGGAGCCTCGCCTTCTCCTCCCCTCCCAAACCCCACATGCCCTCTTCGAGCGGCAGGACGCCCTCCTTCTTCCCCACCCCCGTTCCCCGGAGGAGGTGGAGGAGGAGAACGAGGAGGAGGAGGAGGAGGAGGAGCCTCACCTTCTCCTCCTGTCCCCAACCCCACATCCCCTCCTCGAGCGGCAGGACGCCCCACAACTGGACGCCCCACCTTCCTTCTCTGGAGGAGGAGGAGGAGGAGGAAGAGGAGGAGGCGGAGGAGGAGGAGGAGGAAGAGGAGGAGGAGGAGGAG